CCCTTTCCCTCCCCCTCCCCCTCCCCTGCAAAGCACTTTGAGCCGCTTCAGTGACCTGCATCATATATTGCCCACAAACTGAAAAATACGCAATTGAGTACATACACTATTCATTGTGTTAGATAAACTGGAGATGTTAGAAGCATGTAGGGATCTAGCATAGGAAGTCATGACACAGCTTTCAGAGTAGGCGAAGCATCAAGCAGGACTATCTCTGGAATCTGTGGCTCTCAGGTCAGTGCAATCTGTCATCCGTAACTTTGTGCTAGAACAGGTTTTGTTTGGCGAGATTACAGGTAGGCATGGAGATGTCACTGTAAGCATGTGACATCTCAGCAGCTTCCTGCCCCACCTTTGGGAGGCTCTCTGACTAGACCAGGACCACTAGGCTAGTACAATTACTTACTATGTAAAGGAATGTATCAGAGGGGTAGCCGTGTTAGTCTGAATCTGCAAAAGCGGCGAGGAGTCCTGTGGCACCTTAGAGACTAACTGAAATGTAGGAGCATAAGCTTTCGTGGGCAAAGACCCACTTGGTCAGATGCATCTGACGAAGTGGGTCTTTGCCCACGAAAGCTTATGCTCCTACACTTCAGTTAGTCTCTAAGGTGCCACAGGACTCCTCGCCGCTTATGTAAAGGAATGGTTTGATTCCTGCCATTGAAGCTACTGTCCCACTGATCAGCTAAGGGGCAACATCTTCTGGCCATCCAATGGGCCCTTTAAGCAAGGAACACACCTAATTTGTATAAACTTGAAGTGGAGGCAGTTGTTCTTCCTTCTAATACAGTGCATGGTGCAGAGATCATTTGGCTCCTTGTGTACACTTCCATTTCCATTCCAGCAGCCTAAACGGCACATCACAGATGGGAGATGCATAACAGAATTCTGTGGGCTGCATTTGGCCATGTGAATTCTATGGGCTACAGGCATTGCTTTGACCACCCCTAGTTTAGGCAGTGGCTGCAAGAGAGCTGACAGAGGGTCCAGGCTAGAAGAGGCCACATGAGACTCTCCTATGAAGCGCGATCACAATGGATTTGTTATAGAACACTACATGGAGGTTCAGAATATGCTGCTGAGAATCTGACAGTCAGACCAAGCAGGTCTCATATATCCACTCAAGAACAAGGCAATAGATCTCAATAGGGATCAATATTAAACTGCCCACATGAGAAGAACTGGCTATCAGTGCAGTCCCAGCCAAGGGCTTTTTGGTCCCCCCCCAATAAACTTTATTTATGAAAGGCAAACACAAAGCAGGAGTGAAGCTGGGACAACATCCATGGGTAGAGCCCTGCAAATCTGCAGGTATCAGCATCCATGGATGTGGATGCCAATATCCGTGTCTCATTTTTGCAGATTCAGATGTGGATACACATTTTATAATCGTGCAAAGCTCTATCCCAAGGGTCTGCAACCTTTCCAAAGTGGCATGCCAAGATTTAACCCTCCCGAGCTGGGCTGCGCCATTCTCTTGGCGGCGGGGGGGGGGGGGGGGGAGAAAGGAAGGCTCTCTCCACCATGAACCCTGCTTGGTCTCCTGCCCTGGCTCTGCTCCAGCTTTTTCTGTGGGGAGGGAAGGAGCAGCGTGCGCACACTTCCTTGCACTTGGGTGGAGGATCTGGGTGGGAGGTGGGGAGCAGAAGCAGGCTGAAAGTAGGGTGTCTGACCAGGGGAGAGGGGACAGGAGCAGGCTGTGGGGAGGTGTCTGGCTGGGGGGAAGAGATCAAGAGCAGGGTGGGGGTGCAGGGTCTCGGCGTGGGGAGGTGGAATGGGCGCAGGGTCTGGGTGGCCCTTACTTTTTTTTCCCCTCCAGTGTCTGTAACAGGGTTTAGTTATTGTAACAGTCACTCCCATGTGGCAGCCAGACGCTGCTCCACACACAGAATAAGTTACTGGCCCATGGGCCGAGTGTGGAATGGAGGCCATGCCTCGCCAGGATGGCAGGGAGTCCGGCCGGCAGTTCCGGGCAGGCTGACCAGGATCCAGTCTGCTGGCACCTGGATGATGGACTCCAGCAGCCCCACGGGGCTCTCTGGCGGGTACAAGCACACAGCACGTGGAGCAGCAGGAACATGGCCAGGACAGCCACGCGTTCTTCACAGGCATGAGAGAAGCTGGGTCTGCTTTTGCCCCCTGTGCTGCTCTCAGGCTCTCTGTCCCAGGCATGGCTTCCCGCTGCTCCATTGGCCAGATTCTGGCCAACAGAGCAGCGGGAAAAACCTGCAGGCAACTTGCTGGTGCGCTGCTTTGCTCCTCCAGCTGGGGGAGGGGGAGCACGCCCGCATGTGTGGAGCCATTTGTGGCTCAGGCTTTTTCCCCCGATTGCACAGTGAGGCTCGGGGCTTTCTCCACTCCTCCACCCCCGTGTACCATTGAAAATCATCTTGCGTGCCACTTACGGCACGCGTGCTAGACACATTGCTGACCCCTGCTCTATCCATCGGTGCGCGCACGGATGTTGGGAGTGGGACAGGATAGGTTCATTTACACTGGAGAATGAAGGAAAAATACCAGTTATTAACTATGACGGACATAAAACTGGCTTCCCCAATGACTTACCAGATAGTCATCTGGCCGTATTCCAAACAGTTCACGGAAGTAGCGAAATGCTACAGGAGCATAGGTTTTAAACCGGAAGTCATTGTAGTGATGAGCTGGAGTCAGGTTACTCCCTTCGCTGTGGGGGCGGGAAACAGGTAGTTAGAAATACACACAAGTTCTTCACAGGCCTTTCGTAAAAATAATGAAGTACTACCCCAAGCCAATTTTCTGCAACCCCAAAACACAGGGCAAGTTTAATACCTTAAAATCAGTGATTCTCAACCTATTTACCATTGTGGGGCGCATCCATTACTAAGTGTATGGCCCTGAGGATATCACATGATCCGTAGCTCTGTGCTGATAGGGCCCCAGGTTGAGAACTGCCTTAAATTCTCTTTCATTAACCTTGCCTCAGCTCCAGCAAGTACTCTTCTACCATATATAATGTTAGCACAATCTTTGTTGAATGCTTGCGCTAATGCAAAGACTGAGTAATACTTAAAATTAGGGCCTGAGTACATTCTGTTGTGTGGTTGATGCATCAACTAGCACAGAGCCAGCCACTATACCAGTGGTATTCAAACTATGGGTTATGGATTGTCAGGCACTGCGTCTCGTTGCTGTAGGGGGATCAGGTGAGCAGTAGCGGTGCTGAGGCAGGCTACCTGCCTGTCCTGGCACCGCAGACTGCGCTGAAACCCAGAGCAGCTGGTAGCAGGCCCAGCTCCTAGGTGAGGAGGGAAAAGGGCTCTGTGCACTGCCCCTGCCCTGAGCACTAGCTCTACACTCCCATTGGCTGAGAATCTACTGCTGGCTGCTTCTGGGGGTGGCATGGTCTGCAGTGCCAGAAGAAGCAGGAAGCTGCCTTAGCACCCTCGCTGCACCGCTGACTGAGAGCCACTCAAAGTAAGCGCCTCCTGGCCCAGCCCTGACCACCTTGCCCGCAGAGCCAGAGCCCCCTTCTATACCTCAAAGCTCTAATCCTCAGCCCCATTCTGGAGCTTGCACTCCAGTCAATTATGTTGGGTCACGGTCATCAACAATTTTCTTCAACTGGATCATGAGAAAAAGTATGAAAACCTACACTACTGTGTGCTTTGGGGAAGGTTTAAGGAATTGGTGTTGCTTTCTTCTCTTAACATCGCTAACTTGCAGGTAAACTAACAGTACAATCTCGTAAACTACAGGAAGACTCATCTTGAAGTGGATAACCTTAAGTAAAAGCATTTCACAGAACAGCAAGCGAGCACGCACCCTGGGAAGAAAATACTTTCTACTACGTAGAAGTCTTGCATGAGAACATCTCGCTCTGGTTTGGTGCTCAAGCTTCCCACCGTGTGGGTGATACCCAGCTGAATGGCACCTTTCAAGGCAGATGACGTAGTCTGGAAGGGAGAAGGAAACAAGAAGTGAAACATCTCTGTCATGGAGCAGCAGGTTCCAAATTGGAACAAAGGGGCTCAAGTGGATGGCCATCTTCAAGCAAAAATAAGCTCCAATTTAAAATAGCATCCTTCCAACAGGCACTGATTAGATGGTATTTTTGTCCCCTATAATCCCGGTTACCTCTCTTTGGTTCCCTCTAGCTGGCCAACCGAGTCTTTGGCTGCTTATTTTCATGTCATCTACTCTATGATAAGCATACAACTGATTACAATGTAGCAAGATCAAATAAAAGGGACTCTCTTCAGAATATTTAAGATGCTTCCGAACTAAGGTGACGAGGGCCCTGTATTACATTCATTTGAAGAGCAGATGATATAAGACTAGCTTTTGCTATATACTGGGGATGGGGATACTGTTACATTCCTGACAAAGCCCTAACAATTCTTTCCAACTCATTTTATCCCCCTTTTGCAGTATTGCTTCCCGAGAAGACTTATGCTGTAGCTACCATCCACCTGGCTTCCTGAAGACTGCATTCACCTCCTTCCAAGGTTTTCATTTCCACTCCTTACAATGATTGAGGACCTGGCTATGGAACAGTAACTACCCTCTTTCCTTAGGAAGTAAATGATCATGGAGCAGGTACATTATCTCAATCTCCTGAGACCTAAGTTTGCACAGTCAGAAGGCCTAAGCATAGACTCTAGTCTTCCTCAAGGCAATGTAGAGTACCACCAAGCTAGTCATCAAAATAACCTATCTCCACAGAATACACACTTCTGGGTTTCTGGCCTTTGGTCTCTGCTTCTCCACCTATTCCTATGCTAGGTTTGTCACTCATAAGCAATAAAAAGAGTATTGCAGAATTCAAGGATTTTTTTTTTTTACAATGTTCAAGATAATGTTTATTTTAAAGCTTTTTGTCTTATTTTGATCCATTTACTTTTTCGCAGTTTCAGGAAATTATGGGGGGGAGGAGTCAGACAATTATTTAACGACAGCAGATGTTGAGATTCAAAAAGCTTTAGCTTTTCAACTGTCAAAACACAAACCGTCAACATATATAAAGCAAAAATCACACTCCAATAAATTATCAAGCAGCATTTTTCTTTGCCTCTTTCAAGCGTCTGTCATTGATGGAAACATTTACTGCACACCCACTAAAGGATAAAACTGGTGTTTATTGATAAAAATCTGCCTAGCTGGCCATTAGAGTTTTAAAAACAAACCATAGTGAGGGCACAAGCTTTGCTCTTGTGGCCTGTGCATAAATTGCCAGAGAACAATGCAGTATTATATTCCCGTGGCAGCTATCTGCACCTGCCTATAGAGCGCGTGATTTTTTTGTCTTAGGCCACTGACACTTGCTTAGTTCTAGTTTCTGCAACAAACAGGTGAATCTTTCAGAATGATGCAGATAAGATCTGTTTGACAACTACCGAAGTTACAAAGCTCCTGTCAATTCCCTGCCTATAAAACATAATCCCATTGCAAAGGCTGTTAAAACTATGGTAGAACAGATGCAAGTTGTATTTGTGTGAAGTGAAGTTCATGGACACTGTATTCTGCTTACATACAAGGCAACTCAACTGAAAACAAAATCTTGAGCAGTGACTCAGTAGGTGATACTTAAAAAACAACAAATGGTCTGGTAGCACTTTAAAGACTAACAAAACATGTAGATGGTATCATGAGCTTTCGTGGGCACTTCATCTGAAGAAGTGGGCTGAGCCCACAAAATCTCATGATACCATTTATGCATTTTGTTTGTTTTTAAAATGATACCAGGCTATTTGTTGTTTTTTAAGTTTTTCCTATTACAGACTAACTCGGCTACCCTTCTGAAGAATCAGTAGGTGATGTGCTTCAGACAGCCAGTATCGAACCAATACCCCACCAAGGTGTTAAGGGACACTGTACATCTCATAAATTACCATGTTTCAGGATATCATAAGATCAAGGTACTTTGTGGTCAAGGTTAAAATCTTTCACACACTAATTTGGGCAAGTACCTTTTGTCTTACTTAGATTTCTCCTCCATTGCTTCTAAAATGAATGGTTTTCATTTGAGTATATACAAAATCTTTCAAAGATAAATACATGTATTTCCCGTTTATTTCAGTCGTACCTAAGGGCCAGCCAAGAATGAAACTCCATAGTGCTAAGCACTGTATACATTCAGAAACAGAGGGTGAGAAAAGAACACTCAAGCAGTGCGGACAGTGTGATAGCAGCAAACAGGTTCCATTATTATTATTTTTGGTGGTGGATATAGCTAAGAAAGGATCTGTTAATGGAAAGAAATGGGAAGAGGGTGAGAGGGACAGAGCAGAAGAAAGCAAATGGAGATGGAGTAAGAAACCTGTCCAAGTTGACACAATAAATGACAGAAGAATAGAACTCATGGTTTTTCCTGATTCCATCTAAACCACTTCATAGCATCCCTTTAACTTTCTTTCCTAACCAGGGGCTGGGATGTGCCCAAGGCAGATTTCTCTCAGTCTGCCTAGGGCATTGAAACACAATTCTCCTAAATACCTTCTTACCTTTTAAGACTAATATTGCTTAAAAATCCATGCAAACTCAGCATACACATTACTGCTCATACCTAAAAGTTAGTTTAACTTTGAAGATAAAGGAACTATAAACACCAGCTTGACATTGCTGCATTATCTAGGGAGCAAAGAGAGGTTGCCATTAAGCCGTGTGCATTTTTTTACTCATAAATACAGTAGTCACCTGCTTGTTTACAACTGTTTTAACAAGGGCAGAGAGAATAAATTAATCAACATATTGCCTCAGGGAAACGAGGAAGAGACAAAGCCATAACAACAACTTAAGCCAGGAGAACCTGTTAGTCATTTCCAGGTAACCCCATTAGGAGTCCCTCTGTTACTAGTTTCTGCGGTCCCTGCAAACATAAATATCTCATCTATTCCATTTTGGTTGCTGCCTTCTCCTAGCCAGTAGTGCTACCTCCTCCTCATCCACTCAGCATTCTGGGATACCGCTGAGCTGAGCTGTGAAACCCAAGCTTAAACATAGTCAGCTTTACAAAATTCAACAAAAGAGCTGTTTTCTCCCACGCATTCAATTCCCTTATTTTCCAGGTGCTCTCTAGAAGAAATGAACCCCATCACCAAATATTATGTGGATATTAAAGCCTGGCTGATTTAGAGATGTCACACGAGAAACTTCCACTTACATGAAGCGAGAATTGCTGAAATGCCTGGATCATGCCATTATCCATTTAATCCAAACACGGGAAACCACTCTAGTTGCAAAGCAAGCTGGCACATACTGATAAAAGTCCAACGTAAATTAGTGGTAGAGTCCAAAAATCCCTACCTCCATAGGCTTGTTTAAGAAATCAACGCACAATCTGCCCTACGTAAAGCAAACTTCAGCAAAATCACAATCTGTAGCTGCTATTATATCCAGACAGCATCAAGCGCGTTCAGTAAACGAGAAGGATCCTCACGAGTGCTGCTAATAGGGTAAGGTTTAAAAAAACTAATTCTGTCTTTAGGAGGCAATGGCACAGAAGATATTCCCAAAGCACATATTCAGCCCGTCAGTCTTTGCTCCTGCTGAGATCTTCTTTAATGTTTGTCACATGAGTTACCCAACCTTTTATGCTCAACAGAATGAGTCACAAACCTTGGTGCTCTGGGCAGCATTAATTTAGCAAGTAGGAGAATGAAAATAATCAGATTAATTAGGCGAGAGGCACCTACCTTTTTATATGTAGTCTCACCAGTGGAATCTACTCCTCTATGACCTTTCTTTATCGTCTGTGAGCCAGGCTGCCCAGAAGAACTAGACATCTAGATGTAGAGATGAAGACAAGAACCAAGAAGTTTTAAAAACAATATCCTAGATATAGCTCCCTGGCCAGAATCAAGAGGCATAACTACAGAGGGCTACGGGGCATCTCTTGGGGTAAGCCTGTGGAGTTGGCTTTATTGAAATGATTTTATTTTTGAAAATACAGTGTTATTTTTACTAAGTTAATTTTAGTAATTTTTTTTTAAAAAGGGAATTTCATTAAGTGTCTTTTTCTTCTTCATCCCTATAAACTCTTATTCTTGATGTTTTAACAAAAAAGGGCTATAGTTGATTTGGTTTCCAATACCATTGTCTTCTAGTTTTCAAACGTTCAGCATTGATTTGGCAATGCCAAAACAGAGCACTACTCCAAATTTCTCTGCTTTTATGTCTTTTCTGTAAGGTTTACTGAGAAGCAATCATATTCCAGGTTCCTCCTATTTTTCTGGCTTATCTTGGTTCAGTCTTTCAACATTTGCTCAGTTATGTCCATTTTGAGAACTATATTTGATTTGGTGATTCTGTGTCTATTCGTTTTGGTTTTATGAGCAGCAATCCCATTCAAGGCATATCCCATTCTCCTGGAACAGGAAAACCCTTACATAGCTTTAAGTATAAGAGGAAGAGCTATCTACTGAATTTGGTTGTCCTAGCTCTTACCGTTTAGGAGTTTTTCTTGATCAAACTCTCTCGAATATTTCTTTTTGACTTCCACCTTGAATAGAGATGCAGCTTGCAGAAAACTACGAGTCCCAGCATGCAATGCCAAAAGCTGCTTGGATTAAGATGGAGCAGCACCACATGCTGGAATCCAAACCGTTTGCATGCTACTTCTGAATATTAATGTGGAGAGGGATATTGTATGGCCTAATCTCCTCTGCAAAATAGCAATTGACATTAAAGAACCTTGGAGAGATACTAGCTTACTGGGAGCTTTCTGTGTGATGCAGATTTGGAATCTAAATAAAGAGGTGGTAAGGACTAGAGGAGGAATTTTGGTTCTTAAACAAGGAAAGAGTTTTCAGATTGCTCTTTGAAGCCTTAATTTCTAGCAGACTGGTCCTAAATGACCTTAGGCTGCAATGACTGTGTGCCTTCCTTTACTGGTAGAACTAGTCCTCATGAAAGGCATGGATATACTGCAATTACAGGGTATGACTAAAGCTTGAACAGACCCAAGTGCACAAGACCACAGCTTTACTGTTCCAGTATCTGAGCTAGTGAGCTCAAAACTAGCTTGGGTATGCGTGCTCAAGCTGCAATTATACCCTGTGATTGAAGTACAGCCGTACCCTTAGAAGACCTCAGTCCTTTGAGGGAGTGAGCTAGGTTGGAGATGCAAATTAATCTAGTTTCTCTGGCAATTATGGTAATTTTAGCTGCATCTTATCTATTCTATGACCGCGTGGAAACTTGTCTGGGTCAGTGTCTTCTGTGTAAGTAGCCATTCTGTTTCTCTATAAACTGTATTCCTTGGTCAAAATGAGTTCAACTCAGACTGTGTGGCATGACATTTTATATAGTATTTTGATGGCATGGAATCATTTGAAATTGTAGGGCCATTAGGATATAAAAATGGATCCAATTGTCTTCATGAGGAACAACGGCCCATTGATTTCACAAGTGAATACACCAGCTCTTTTTCAGCCTTATAATTACTTTTCCAGCTTTGTTCCCGGCTCTCTCTTTCAGATTCAAGCCATATTCAAGCTCAAAATGCCTACTTTCATAGGAAGCACCCATTTAAGTCCCTACCCAGGGAACAAAGCACACCCATTTCTCAAGAAGTAACTTACCTCTGAAGTGAATGATTTTTTGAAGGTTGCTGACCCTGTCAAGACAGAAATTTAAGAAACATTTAGCAAAAAGACACAGATTATTATGTATTGTAGAAAAAGCCTGACATTCTGATGAGGTCTGACTGTTTTATTGCATCTGAGAAAGCACAGACTCAGGTTTGATTTCAACTTCTCTTGCTCACAGGACAGAGAAAAAATGTTCAGGCCACAAGGAAATGTCATTCTGCTTTGCACACAGCCATCCCAACTTAACTTTGTTTATTTCACACAGTGTGACTATTTGTTAGTCTGATCTCTCCTGCTCAGCTAGATTCCAAGAATGTTTCGGTCTTGTATAAATACTCAGGGCCAAATTCAGACACTGTGTAAGATGATGCAACTTCTTCAAATTCAGTTGAGTTACACCAAGACTTAATATGACTAACTAAGCATTAATTAAAATCACAACATCAACAGCCCAATTTTCATAGTTCAAGCTTTGTGATGCTGCAGTATTAACGCTTCCATTATAAACTTATTTCCAGTTTTTTTTTTAAATCGCAACATAAATCCTTCGAGTTGAAGGTCAAGATTCAGAGAATACTAGAGCTTAATGTCTGTGAGGTGATTTATTACTTTTTCCACCTTTTGAGGCTGGGATTCCAGTCCTGTCTCTTGGATATGGAAACAGAAACTGACTCTGTGATCCTCTTTTGTGAATGTTTGTCTAAGCTGCAAAACCACCACATGGATCAGCCATAAGGCTCAGAAACAGCCCCCCAACTGCAAAAACAGAGATGCTGCTCCTACATAAAATGAAGTCATGGGAAAAACCTGGATGTCTTCTTCCTGGAACAAAAAAATTCCAGCTTTATGGAAGAATAGCCTCCCCAGTCTGATTAAGCCTATTTCACAACCGTGGCAACCTGAGTCATTCAAAACAGGGGCCAAGAAAAACGGATTTATTGCGGAAAGAAAACAGCATTTCAGCAAAAGCCAGAAACGCACTTAACAATGAAACCTGAACATCCTTCTTATCCACTTATCAATCAAAGCTCCGATTTCAAGATAGATGAAACAGCGAGCAAAAACAAAACAAAACAAAAAATTGTGCCAAAAGCTTTCACTAACCCAAGTGAGAATATAGTGACTAGTTTTTTCAACTTGTTTTCCACTTCACTTTTGCCCTTAAGGCAAGAAAGGTGTCATGACAGGTTCTAATTTTTATGTTTGAAGTTTCACATATTCAGGAGCTATTTCCTCCCCCTCCCAGTACATTCTGTGCTCTTCATAAAAATGAGTAATGCACAGTTGTATTCATATGCACTGACTTGCAACTAGCTGTACTATACAAAGCCATAGACCAGTGGTTTTCAACCTGTAGTCCGGGGGTGGGGTGGGGGCAGGGGGATTCCACAGACTATGTCTATGATTTCCAAAGGAGTCTGAACCCCCATGCAAAATTTGTTAGGACTCTGAAAATGAAAAAAAAGTGGAAAACCACTGCCATAAACCGAAGGCAGTCAAGCTAGCAGGGCAGCCAATTCTTCACATCAAGTAGAGCTGTTTGTCCTGGGACACAAGTCCAAGAGCTCAAGCAAATGATGCTTTTAAGCTTTTGTTGCCACCGTTCAATCTGTGTCTGATAGTCCAAGTTAACAGCTTTTGTTCTCTACTTCTTCCCCTCCCCCAAACAGGAAATTCTGTCAGTACAGAACAGAATGGATCTGAAAGCAAATAGATTGCCAGTTGGAAGCTAGCTTCTATATTTTTCCATACTGCTAACAGAAGCCATGCAGCCACCACACAGTTTTTCAGGATCCTGTTTTAATGGGAGACTCATAATGCTCCACAGTCACCTTGAAATCCAAGTGACTGCTTTGAACAGGGCTTTCCAAACAGCCAATGTCAGGCACACAGTGGTGGAGGAAGCAACTCAGTCATTACAACACAACACCTGTTCAGCAACAATTGAGCCCTATTTCCTTTTCAAGTGAGTATTCTGTAAGTATGCAAACCAAATATTCTTTATGTCACACTAAAAGAGCAGCATAGCTAGCCTCATCATCTTAGAGATTAACTATGTTAATACCCATCCATTTAAAACCTTAAAGTCTATGAAGATTTACCTATAACTATTTATTCAGAAGGGACAACAAATGAGCCTTTTTATAACTTTTTAATTGCATGCAAAAATATTAGTCTCTCAAAAAAGCCAAAAACATACCACTTCAATTTTCATTTGTATAGCACTTGTCAACTGAGTATTCCCAAGTACTTCATACTCACTAGGCCCCTCTACTAATGTGAGACAGGCACTCTTGTTTTACAGAGGTTTAGAACAATATACAGTAATTTGCCTGAAGACACACAGCAACATCACCATTGGGACTGAAGACAAACCAAGAAACTGGCCTCTACATGGCACTAATGGTTTCAGCTGTCTCCTGTGTCCAGTTCTGGGAGCCACACGTTAGAAAACATGTGGATAAATTGAAAGAGTCTAGAAGAGAGCAACAAAAATGATAAAAGGTTTAGAAAATCTGATCTATGCTGAAAGGTTAAAAAACTGGGCAAGTGCAGTCTTGAGAAAAGAAAAATTTAGGTGAAGAGCTGATGACACTAGCCCAATTTAAGGGCTGTTATAAACGAGATAGTAATCAATTATTCCCTGTGTCCACTGAAGGCAGGACAAGCAGTAATTGTCTTAATCTGAAGTGAGAGAGATTTAGATTAGATATTAGGAAAAACACTCTAAACATAAGGGAAGCTAAACAATGAATTAGGCTTCCAAAAGAGGCAGTGGAATCCCCATCAATGGAACTTCTAATTGCTAGAGAGAACAGTCTCCCATCAAGTAATCCTAGTGAATGCTATTACACGTTATCTCCAAATCAAGTGCCACTGTTTACAAGTAAAGATCTCTAGTCAGCACAGGAAAGTTACCGTGTGCTGTAACACATACCCGCCATGTGCAACAAAGGAAATACTCCCTCCTTTTTCTCGAGTTCATTATTTCCAAATAAACATGCAATATCCGTTGATTGCGATATCCAACTGTCCTAAATGGGAAGTGTTCCACGTTACTACAGAGATTCCTTTCCCAGGTGTCTTGGTAAAGCAATAATAAGCAACCTAGGCTAAGTGGGCCACATGAATGGCCCTCCATCTCAGGCTAGGTCTACACTATAGAGTTTTTGCGCAAAGAGGGGTTTTTCCCGATGTAGGTATTCCTCCTTCTACAAGGAATAACTCCTATTTATGCAAGAGTTCTTGTGCAAAAAGGTGTGTGGGGACAGGGAAACGGGGGGGGGGGGGTTTGCACAAAAAGAGGCAATCGAAAAAAGCACAGGTGCCCTGGTGGCCATTCTGTAAAGAGCAATCAGTTTCCTTTCGAGAGCATCACTGCAGTCTGGACACTCTCTTGCGCAAAACCACATCAATTTTTTGATTCGCTTTTGCTCTGTGGACACGTTCTTGTGCAAGAAGTTTTTGCGGAAGATCTCTTTTGCAAAAAGCTTCTTGCGCAAGAAGCCTGTAGTGTAGACATAGCCTCAGTGGTCCACAAGATTGTCATAACCAAGGTGCTCTCCTGAAATAGGGTAGTTTTGCTAATTGTGCTTGCATGCCTAAAATTTGTAGGGTGTGCAAACAAACAATAGCAGCGCTTTGATTAGATGCAAAGTGTGCACAGCTCTTACAGTCAATGTTGTATGCAATCAGCACACACCTCGCTTCACTTGCCTTTGCTTTATGTGCATGTCACGCTAGATGTAGCCTAGATGACTTTTCATGTAAGGAAGTTACAGCTATTCTCTTTTTTAAAATGACCATTTCTCCTGCAGTACAGCATATAGAGAAATGAAAGGCAACTGCGTTGGCCAACTCAGGGTATGTCTACACTACCCTCCTAATTCGAACTAGGAGGGTAATGTAGGCATACCGCACTCAAACTGCCGGCATTTAAAAATGGCGCCGGCCGGCTTCATGCAAATGAAGCCCGGGAAATTCAAATCCCGGGTTTCATTTGCAGGTGCAGTATACCTGCATTACCCTCCTACTTCGAATTAGGAGAGTAGTGTAGACATACCCTCAGTGAGCACATTTTCTACAAAACTGCACCTTGAGATAAAGCTTAGCTTGTAGCTGAGTGTTTCTGAAAATGTGTTAGATTTGCTCAAATTCGTGAGTGGTTTTCAGGGGAAAAAAGTATTTTTAACCTCTCTCAAGTCCTTAATTAAAATCAAGAAGGTAATCAACTAAAGAATTAAGCCAATTCTCTTTGTGGTTTAACTCCATGCCTGGTCTCTCTTTTGGAATATAGATGGATTAGATAAGAGGCTGACATTACCTACAGTGCCACCCCCACCAGAATTCATACTGCTCAGAGTTACTTACTGGAAACTGCATCAGGAAAAGCAAATAGAAGCTACCTGAAAATAGTACAGAACCACCACAAGTGATATACTACTTACAGCACATTGCATAAATATCAGACTAAAAGCCATGCTAAAGCTATTGTGGTGCTGTTTTGGTTAAACAGTCTGCAAACTGCTCTGGCAGGAGTATGCAACACATCAAATTCTCACCTCACTCATCTGTCTAATGCCATGGTCACCGACCAGTCGCTCGCGAGGCGTCCTGTCTGCCCCGCCCCCATTTCCCTCCCACCCCCGAGAAGCCCCGCTACTTACCTCAAGGAGGGGGTGAGTGAGCCCCGCGGGAGGTGTGCAGGAGGTTTTCTGACGCGTGCGGGGGGGAGGGCCTTGGCCCCGGGGCAGGCGGGCACGCAGGGCTTCCCCGCGC